GCAGGAATGGGGAGAGAGCACTTAGGTTATAAACTTAAGCTATCCTCCTGAACATCCCGTAAATCATCTACTGAATATAGTGAATATATTGGACATATGGACTTTCCTATACACGACAAGGGCATCTTCAAAAAGTTATGGAAAACATGAATTACACAAAAGGTGTAAACAGATTTCAATTTTGGGGGCATCAAAATCAATTCACACTTTAATTCCATTTTCCATGAACTTCTTGAAGTACCCTCCTATATGTGTATGAAATGCACAAAATGGACAGACTAGAAAGGTGCTGTGTGAAATAATTACTTATACGGCTTGAAGAACGCTTCCCGGGCAGAGAGACCCACAGTGAACAATCAAGCACAGAGCTGAACTTGCTCCAACTGGAATGGACACTGACACAACTGCACTATGCCCTGTTGACTGTGACAGCTTGAGGCACAGGCATGTGATCCAAGGAGATTTATTCTGAGTCTTTTCTGAGGACTGACAGGGATTTCAGGAAAGAGGACCTCCTGCCTGGGATCTCAGACACTCAGGACACACACAGAATCCTGGCACTGCCAGAAACCATCTTTGTCTCCCAGTCATGCCAACATAGAAAACAACAGGCCTAAGAAATGTAGGGCAAATCCCGACGACCTCATTCGAACTCGGATCCAGCTGAACTGGACTCGGTCTACTGGTAGATTTGCATTCACGAGCCAATCAATTCCCTTTCGGAGATGACTCACCAGAAGAGTCCCAAAGGATACCCACACTGACTCAGAGGAGCTTATGAGTACATTACCATTGGCTCCTTTGGTTGCGTGGCTGAGAAATCCTAAAATATCACACATTTTATCTACCAATTTTGTAGCTTTCCTCCTAATTCTTCTTCACTGGGGAATGACTCTGCCCTCGGTTTTTCAATGGAAAAATGTTTAAACGTGGGGTGCTTTTTTAAAATAAGGGGAGCTCAAGCCAGGAAGAGAACTTAAGACTCTCCATTCTTCCTCTGGTCTGGCACGGAGAGACCACCCTCCTTGGGATTGTCCTGCTGATCCTGGAACACCATTGCATCAGGGAACACCTAAGTCCACCCAGGAGAGCCCAGCTGCTCTGGGGTAATGCAACAGACCATTTCCCATAGAGCAGAGGGCTGTCTACAAAGCTGAGAGGACCCAGCAGGGCTCCAGGGTCAGCTGCCTCGTTCCAACAGTCACCAGCTGTGCTGCCGGGTCACCGGGAGCACAGACGGCTACTCTGCCACGATCGAGGAACTCAACCCCAGGGGACGTGGCCAAGAGCCTCAGACGGCTCAACTTCCAGTTTTGATATTTCAAGTATCTAAAACCAACAGTTGGAGAAGGTAAAATAAAGTATATTCTTTTGAAGTCAGAATTATAATATATTGGCCTATCAGGTAAATATTGACAAAAGGAAAAGAGAGGGGATTATTACATCATGATATAAACCATAATTTTCTATTCAGTCTCTGTGTTGTTACTACACATGAACTTTCTGTCCTTAGTCAAAATTGACAAACTGACAAAGAGTTCATTAGAGGAGATAAAACACGGGAGAGGCCAACCAAAACATACTCAAAAGGCTTAACTCTCACTCCGAATTCCCAGGCGAGCCTCTAAACCAGCAAAGAGAAGCTCTCTTATTCTGTGCTTTGGACCTTTTTTATGGAAACCCTAAGTAAATATTTTATTACATATATTTACATAGTGTGAACTCGCAGAACTCCTGAGGTTGTGGCGCTCAGGTTTTTACTCTATGAAAGGGAAAACATAAATCCGAAAGGTTACATAGGATACACTGTCAAACCATTTAGGATGAGTCTGATGTTGGAAAAAAATACTGTCTTTCACATAAACGTATTCTTTTAAAATTAAAAAGAATTTTTTTAACATTAAAAGTTTTATCTGCTAGGCTAAGGCGAGTCACGTGAGTTCTGCAGAGCATAGAGGCAGAGAGAGGAAGGGTCCCCCAGTTGTCACTTCTGGCTCACTGTGCCCAGGGCCCACAAACTTTGCTGAATACAAATACTACTTTGAATGAACTTGAGAGGACGTTGGCCCTGCTTCATCCAACTGAAACACAAACAGAATCTAAGCAGGAGCTTAGAACCCTCCCCAAAGTCAGCCTCCCAACCCGTGTAGTGGCCTCACAACTGTCCCTGCCAGGCAGCCCCTGACCTACCTCCAGGGCGGGAAGCTTACAGCTTCTGGAAGCCACTTGCTCTACTTGTGGGGAGCTCTGGCTGCAAGAAAGGATCTGCGACACATGGAAACAAAACGTCTAGCGGATGCCATCACTGGGCATCCAGAGGTGGCAATCCCTTCCTTTAAGGAGCTAACGGGGTCTAATGGGGCTGGCAGGTACACCCACGTGATGACAGACTGACAGGACAGGGAAGTTTCGAAGGAGCCCAGAAGCTAATTGAGCTTTTATCCATCACAGCATGTGGCATGCTCTGAACTCTCTAAGGACTATATGAATAGAATATTGACAATCACAGCCATAAGGTGATAACCAGGAAAGTAGAAGTGAGCGTTTTTTCCTTTTTTTTTTTTTTTTGAGAGGTTTCTTTTTGCTATAGGGCGCGTGCGCTCACCAGAGAGACAGAGAGAAACATAGAGACAGAAAGCGAGAAATCACCCCCCAGGGGGGATGGTCACTCCGCAATCCCTTCTCCTCCATTCTCCTCTCGGGATCTTGGGCACACAGGCACATGCGCCCGGCGTGAGTTTTAAGCCACTGGGTCCGGGACGTGAACTGCGGTCGACTACGTGGGAGTCCAACGACATAGCCATTACGCTAACTGCTCGTTCCCAGAAGTGATCGTTTTTCAAATGGCTCCTCACACAACCTAATTTGACAATAGCCACACGAACTGTATTGTACAGAGGAATTATCTGAGCTCAGAGAGGTGCCAAGTCACCTGGCTAGTAAGTGATAAACCCCAGATTCAAAACCAGGTTGGACTCAGAGCCTCTGCTCCTTTCATTAGCCTTCCCGACCCCGTCACTGCTGCCCCAGGACAATAACTCCTGATTTTTCATCTCTGCAGGCCAGGGCCCAAGTCCCTCCCTAGTGCTGATGACCTGAAGGAAGCCCCTTTTTGGCCTTGGATTTCTGCATCCTTACTCCCAGCCACGCCCTAACTCTGCAGGTTCTCTTGATTCTCACTGTCAAGCCCCAGAACCCCCTCATATCAGAGCCGGATTATCAAACAACCACTGAACCATTAACTCAAGTTCTACTTCATTATTCCAGTAAGTCCTTAAAAATCTAGCAAGTCTTTTCTGAATTTCTAGCTTGCAGTCATCTTTAGCTGGTGGCAGAATGACCATCCCAACTAGTGCCTAGAGTGGGGACTACCAGGCTCCTACTTATGGTAGGTGGGGACGTGTCAGGCATGTGGGGACATGTCAGGCATCCCTTCCCAGAGTGAGACCAGACCTGAGTCCCTTAGTGGGTCCCTTTACTAACTGCTGAGACTAGACAGGGGGACAGAGGCTCTTCTTGGTCACAGGAGGACACTCCTAACAGAAAACTGTGTTGCGATAGACTGGTGGTCTGTGTCCCCCAAATTCACATGCTGAAAGCTGACCCCCCAGTGTGATGGTATTTGGAGGTAAGGCCTTTGGGTAAGGTGAATGGGGCTAGCACCCTGATAGGAGATCCCAAAGGCCTCCCATCCCTTCCAGCACGAGGGCATGGCAAGAAGGCAGTAGCTCTGAACTAGAAAGTAGGCCCTCACCAGATACAGATCTGGAGCAGCTTGGTCTTGGACCTCCCATCGTCTGGAAATGTGAGAAATAAATCTCTGCTATTTGTAAGCCACTCTGTGGTATTCTACTCTATCAGCCTGAGTGAACGCAAGTGAAGTCTGGAAATTTATTTTTTAAAGAGACAGGGTGTCACTATGTTGCTCAGGGTGGCTTCGAAGTCCCCAGAGTAGCTGGGGATAGAGAGGCACACCAGTACACCCAGCTGGAACTCCTTTTAATTCAGAATGCTGAGGAACAACGCTCCTATATGTACCCATCTGCAAAG